AAATAACCATCACCCACTTTCTCCCCCCAGCCTCATGCTAGTCTTTGCCTGCAGCTGCAGTGGTAGGCATCGTTCAGGAAGTGACCTTGGCTTGTATTAATCAAATTCAGAACACACAAAAAAGCTTCTGGCTAACATGCTGACTTGATGTAAAATTTTGTCGCATCCATTTTCCTTCAAAATGAGGCCATCCTGTAAAAAGAAAACAAATTAAATGCACGCACACACATAGTGTGCACACTTCTGCAAGCTGTGTATAAAAAGACCGAACTAGACGTATTTTAAAAATCAGACTTATTTATAAATTTATATCATGGGGTTAAATTATTAATAGAAAATTACTTTTATAATTCCAAGTTGAAAACGATGTACATTATCACTGATTTTTATTATGGTCTGAACCTTGTACATCAAGTTGCTGTGTAGATTTTCTGTGCAGTGAGGACAGTATGCAGTGCTCTGGGCCTTTGGCTGTTGTGTAGTAAGTGAGGCATTTCTGTATATTCCTTACTTCTGGTGTTTCAGAAATAGCTGGTTATTTAATATTCTTGGTTTGGATAAAGTCTACTATCTATATGGGCCCATTTTAGTATTCAGTGGTAGTGCTGGTATGGATCTCAAATCCAGGCTTGTAAAACTGCAAAAATTCAACCAATTGACATATCAATGAGGAAAATATTTCTATCTATAAATCAGCTTATCTATAAATTTAGGATTTAGTAGTTCATTTTGATAGGAGAGTTTGTACAGCTGTTTCCCCTTGTGTGCTTTAAGGAATAGCAGCTCTCACACTTGTAATTCCAGCACTTTGAGGCTAAGACACAAGGACTGTTGCTGGTTCCATGCCCCTGTGCACCCTTGTCTGCTTGCCTGCCCTGCTCATCTTGACCCTGCTCACTGTTAGTACAGAATGCTGACAATGGTAGTGGATGGATTAATGCATTTTTTTTTTTTTGCATTTGCCGGAAACTCATAAAAAATGATCAGGAGGACAGCTCTGTCTATTGCCAAAAGACTTTACTTTTCAGTTTTTTTTGTGCGCAGAGGGCTGTGCTGGGTCCTGGAGGGCTTGGCGAGAAGGGTAGAGGGAGACAAATGGCTCCTTAGAAGCCTAGCTATATTTCTGTAGACTCCTCTTGTGAAAAGGACAGCACACGGCAGTTTGTATCAATGACCTGAGGGAGTGGGAGCCTAAACACTATAATTAATGGGCTTCATTACTGAGGTTTTCTTTTTAAAGCATTTATAGGGAACTAAACTGGTATCATCTTCTATCATTGTAGGTTGTTGGTAGAATTGAAGCCTCAAGGAGGAAAATCTTTTCTTAACCTTCCCTGATTAATTCTTTGTCTTTACTAGCGTTATTGATTGGTTTATTGGATGCTCTTAAGATAAAGAAACTCTGACTTGAAGAAGGAGGATAATTATCAAATCATTTTCCTTCTCAAACTCCTGTTTAAAATAAAGTTGTCACATGAATTTAGGGTTGTCGGGTGCCATTTTACCTCTCCTGCTTCTTGAGAGAGGCCTTGGAGGAGCAGCAGCGGCCTCGGTAGCCAGGGAGTTAATGCTTCTGCAGCCCGAGGGTCAGTGCAGTCTCTGTTTCCTGATTGGCTGCTGAAAGGTGAAATTGAAACCACTGTAAACTTTTGACCCTGTAGCAGTTCCTGTGGAAAGCCTTCTACTGGTAGAGCCTGCTCACCGCCCACCCCCACTCCCACCCCCTTTGCTGTATTTATTTAGTGTGATCCTGCGAGGCTCTACCCAGCTTTTCAGAGAAGGAGAGAGTGGGTGAGACGGAGAGAAAGGAGGAGACAGAAGAGCAGCAAAGCAAGCAGCTGCAAGCAGCTTGCTGACATGTTGCTCTCCTTCTAACCAGGTCCTTACTAACTTGAGCTCAGCCAGTTCACACACTGCCCTGCCATTAGGATTTTGTGGTCTCGTTAGCCTCTAGGCACGTAGAAGCAGAATGGCTTGCCTCCACAACTTTTAGACTCACTGTAACTGGCTAGCCTGACGCTGGAGTTAAAGGTGTGTCTGCCACCACACCCCACATTAAAAAAATAATAAAGCTTTTTATGATTTAGTTTAGCATACACAGTTCTGGGTTTATTATGGCATTTTCATGCTATGTGCCATTGTGCTTGCTCTAGCCCACCATCTTCTCCTCTTGCTCAGCTCCGCGTCCCCTGATCTCTGTGAGGCTGGAGATTGTTCAGCAGAATGCCTGACTTTGCTTCCTGCATGTGCTGAGCTAAAAGCTTTCACTTTCAATTGCCTTTTATGCATTTCTATTATGTATCCTGTCTTCCATGTAATTTATAGACAAATGGCCAATATTTTCTTTCTTTCTCTTTCCTGTTTCTTTTTTCGTTTGTTTTCCTTTGTAGCCCTGGCTGTCCTGGAACTCACTCTGTAGATCAGGCTGGCCTCTCAGATTCGCCTGTCTCTGCCTTGCTACTGCTGGGAGTAAAGGCATGTGGCATCGCTGCCTGGCTGCAAGTGGCCAATATTATATAAAGTGTTACTGGAGTTGGCAGGATGGTTCAGTGGGTAAAGAAAGGTGTTTGTTGCCAAGACTGATGAACTGAAATTGGACCCATGGTGGAGAGAACAGATTTTTGAAAGTTGTCCTCTAACATCCGTATTTCTGTCATGGGGTATAGGGATGCGTGCGTGCGTGCATGCACACACACATAATAAAGACATCCTTTAAAATGTGTTTTTATCATCTTTGCCTTTTGGGGTGTGGTGGTCTTGGGGTTGGATCTGGGCTTTGTGCACACTGGCAAGCCCTCACAGTGAACTTTGTCCTCAACTCTGTTTTTGAGAGAGGATTTGGCTGTGTAGCCCAGGCTGGTCTGGAACTAGCCGTCTACCTGTCTTTGCCTTTCCAACTCTGGGACTGCAGACGTATGTGGTTGTACTTTTGTCATTTACTATGAAGAATTAGCAAGACGTTTAATAAATCTGGGTAATCTTTGCAGAGATTGCCTGTTTCACTAGTTATTGTTGACAGAGATGAACAGTTTTGGATTTGTCTTAATTTCCCATCTTAATAGCGCTTCAGGATTACTCATTTTGTGATGCTAATAGCTCCCACCCTTTTTTTGTCTCTGCCTGTTTGATGCTCATCAAATGCCAATTTCATGGACATCATTTTTGTTTCAGAAACTTTAGTGCCTGTTTGTGCCTGCTTTTGCTCCTCCCCAGTTAATGGTGGCACTATGATTTCTTTTTTTAATAGTATTTATTTTTATTATTTTTGATTATGTGTGTATCCGAACATGAGCATAGTGCTCCCTGAGGCCAGAGATCAGGAGTTATAAGTGGCTGTGAGTAACCTGACAAGGGTATTGGAAAACCAACGCAGGTTCTCTGCAAGAGTAAGTGTATGCCCTTAACCACTGAGCATCTCTCCAGCCTCCTGTAATTTCTTTTTCTTTCTCCTTTTCTTTCCTTTCTTCCTCCTCTCCTTCCTTTTCTTTTTTCCTCCCTCCGTCCCTTCCTTCTTTCCTCCCCCCCCTTTTTTTATTCAAGTAACTGCAAATAAGGAGCCAGAGGGGTTGCCACACATTGGGCGTCAAATGAAGCATGATTAATAAAGAATCAGAGAGAGATATTGGGGTTCAACCGGAAGGTTCGAAAAGCAAAGCAGCTAGCCGCTGGCTCTTACCTCGATCTCAGTCTGAAATGGTGATCCTGCCTCCAGGAATCTCAGAGGGAGACTGAGATTGAGAACTTCTCTGTTTTATAGTTCTCTCTAGTTCTGGGATTAAAGACATGCACCACCGCTGGGACTAAAGGCATGCACTGCCAGTTTCTATGGCAAACTAGTGAGGCTGCAGGGATTAAAGGTATGTGTTATTATGACCTGGTCTGTAAGGCTGACCAGTGTGGCTGTTTTACTCTCTGAATTTCAGCCCAGCTTTATTTATTAAAATAAAATTGAAATGCCACTACGGGGAGCCCCAGGCTGGGACTAATACTGGCCACCCCTCCCTCATAGAACAAGGGGAGAAGGTGATCTTATACCCTTTCCCCATCAAAGTGCCCCCCTCTACAGACTCCATTGCATCTAAGGGCAGGACTCCATCTTCCCTGGTGTGGGGTAGTTAGTAGCCAGCCTGCCGCATCCTATCCCCCTTCCCTGGAGTGTTTTGGGGAGGAGAGTGTAGACAAAATGAGAGGGTAAATTTTTGAAGGAGGCTGGCTCTATTCATTCTCTCTCTCTCTCTCTCTCTCTCTCTCTCTCTCTCTCTCTCTCTCTCTCTCATTTTCGAGACAGGGTTTCTTTATAGCTCTGAAACCTGTCCTGGAACTAACTCATCAGCTGGCCTCGAGCTTACAGAGATCTGCCTGCCTCTGCCTGCCAAGTGCTAGAATTAAAGGTGTGTACCACCACCACCTGGCTGCCCCCCCCCCAAGGCTGTTTTGGGAAACCAAGGCTGTTACTTTCATTGTATTTTTCAGGTTGCCTTGCCTAGGACTATACATATTTATAAAGCATTAAGTGACTGTAGGAAATGGTTTGAGGTCAGATTGATCCTTTCTCATGGGCATTGGTGTAGGTGCTGGTGCATAGCAGAAACCCTGCTAATCATCTATGATGATCACATTGTGAATGCTGTGCTTAACTTTTTTTAAAATAAAAACTGCAAGTTTTTTTTTTTCAAGACAAGGTTTCTTTGTAGCTTTGAAGCCTGTCCTGAAACTAGCTCTTGTAGACCAGGCTGGCCTCAAACTCAGAGATCTGCCTGCCTCTGCCTCCTAAGTGTTGGGATTAAAGGTGTGTGCCACTACTGCCCAGCTAAAAATTGCAAGTATTGATATGGTCAAAAAGGCATCTGTGCTGATTCCCAGAGGAGCCATCATGCTGAAGGGAGAGTTGGGAATAATAGTAATAATAATAATAATAATAATAATAATAATAATAATAATAATAATGCTTAATTTGAAGAAAAGACAATAAAATTCATATACACACCCTTTTTGCCCTTAGGATCAAAAGATTTGCTGAACAACAGACTCAGAGATCGGTAAAAATAAGCTCCTACCCGAACCTCACTGACTGGGCTGCCAGGTAGGTAATTCATGCACTTTCCTTGACTTGATTGCTGTAATTTTCTTTTTTACTTGAACTGCCTGAAGGCTTTGCCTTTTGCTTTGTGCTTAATGTGCTTTTTTTGATGATGGTTCAGCAAGTGGACTTGGTTGAGCCACACACTGGTCTATGTTTGTCTATAGTATACAGACAAAATTACTCGGGCGGGGGGTGCAGGAGGCAAAGCAGCCCTGCCTGCCTCTCTTGTGAATATTTTAAGGTTTTTGGGTAAAATTGGAATCTGCCTGGAGTGGGTGGTGGTACATACTTTTTTTTAGTCCCTGCAGAGGCAGGCCAGCCAGGGCTACAAGGTGAACCCTGTCTAAAAAGCAAATTGGAATCAGCTACCACCCATGTTTGCTATTTCCCCCAGATCACTTGTGCAGACAAATGACATAGCCCCGTTCTTAACCTTTAATATTACATCATAATAGTAAAATAAAAATCAAAAAGCTGCTGGATCGCTTAGAAAGCAGTTCACTTTGCCCAGCTAAGTTAAGTGTGTATTATCCTGCCAGTTCTTGCTTAGTTAGTCCTGAAATCTGGGTATTTGAATCCCACCCTCCTTGGACACGTTACTAAACAGGTTTTATCTAGTTTGCTATTTTCCTGTCCTTTTGTCTCACTTTCTGTTTCTAAGTTTAGCCTTCTCTAGGTCAAGAGCTGTAACTTGGAGCGGCAATTTCTCACTTGCTGTGTCCCCTTGCTGCTTCCTTATCTGCTGTTTCTATGCGTTTGTAATTTTGATGCAAGATTTTCTTATGTTCCTTTTCCTGTTTACAGAGAAAAAGAGACAGTGCCTGGGGACTGCTCAGCTTCCAGCCACCTGCTGAGCATGCTCCAAGCTCCGCGTGTTCAGCCGCTAGTCTAACCCCGATTAGTTAGGCACCCATCCTGTTTCCTTTTGTATTGTTTATACTTAAGAATTAATCCAGAGCTTGTAGGCGCCCTCCTCGCTTTCATTCTGTATGATTCTTTGGCCTATTGGATGGTGCCACCTACAGTCAGGACAGTCCTTTACCCTGTCCTTCACTGTTCACTTGCCAGCTCTGCAAGAGAGTTCACAGATGCACCCAGAAGTGTGCTTGCTGTGCTCATGAAAACCATTGATTGAGCACTGGTGGCTCAATCCAATCAAGCTCCCAGTCAAGATGAACCCTCTCAATGTAGTGGATGGAGAAGCATAGTGTAGATGGAGTAGATTTTGGTTGTCTTTTTCTGTAACACTTAACTAAAATTCTCATTCTAAAAGTTCTCCTGATGGGTTGGTGAGATGGCTCAACTGGTAAAGGCACCTACTGCCAAGCCTGACAACTTGAGTTTAATCTGAGACCCGTATGTTGGGGGAGATGTCCCCAAGTTGTCCTTTACCTACACATACATTATGTTCCCTTTCTCCATGCAAAATATCATTAAAAGGCCTGGGCAGTGGTGGCACATGTCTTTAATCCCAGCACTCGGGAGGCAGAGACAGGCAGATCTCTGTGAGTTCGAGGCCAGCCTGGTCTAAAAAGAGATAGGCTTAAAAACTACAGAGAAATCCTGTCTCAAACAAACAAACAAACAAACAAACAAACACCATTAAAAGTTCTCCTGGTTATAGTGAATCAATGTGAACAAAATATCACTGGCAGAGGAATGACTACTAGACTGTATTTATCCCTGTCCTTCATTTTAATTTGAGAAACATTGCTTTGATTATATGCTAACTTATTAAATACAGGCCCTAGTTATGGAAACTTAGAAAGGATGCTGCCTTAAAGCCAAACAGCTTAACTGACTGTTTTCAGTCTTATTTTCTTTTGGGGTGTATGGATCATTAATCTTGCCAGTTGCCTGCCTAGAGACAGTGACTCTCAGCATAAAGCCAGGAAGCACAGATGGCCAGTTAGTAGTAAAGAAGCTAGTGGGACAGGACTGTGGTCTTTCATAAGTTCTCATAATGATCAATTTGTACACTTTACAGCTCTCAGGTTCTTTCCAACTCTAAGTTTTTGTGGTTGACAGATCTGGTTCTTCATGTAGAGACTCTTATTTACTTAATGTTTCTCCCTACTCATTAAAGTACAAGATTGCTAGTGAGAGTAACATTCTCTCTGTATGGGTCCTCACTCTGTAGCCCAGGCTGGCCTTGAACTCAATGATGTTCTTCCTATAACCCTTTGAGCACTGTTCTTGTGCACAGCACAGTGCTGAATGCTAATATTCCCTTTTAAAGGAGATATTTGTGAGGGTAAGTTAATACTGGATCATTCGTGATTTAGCATATGCCTATAACCCCAGCATCAGGAGACTGAGCCCGGGCAGTTTCATGGTGAGTTCCAGGACAGCCTGGAACTACAGACCTTATGTACAAAAGCCAGACCTAAACACCTCCCACTCTGAACCTAAACAAATGAGAGTACAGTCTTTGGTTTGCTATTGATGACCTGCTAAGGTGGTAGAATGAAGTTTTAGTAGGTGTGGTTAGGATTATTACTGGGGCTCTTGGGCCTCTCCTCCAAGCTAGCAAAAGTTTTTTTTTTTTTTTTTTAAATTTTTTTGAGACAGATTTTTTCTATGTAGCCCTGGCTGTCCTGGAACTTGTCATGTAGACCAGGCTCGCCTTAAACTCAGAGCTCCGCCTGCCTTTGCCTCCTGAGTGCTGGGGTTAAAGGCGTGCACAACCACTGCCGAGCCCCAAGAAAGTTTTTTTTTTTTTGTTTAAAACAGACTATGTATTTTTTTTCCCCTTTGGTCATATCTATTCCCCTCTACAACCTTCCGCCCCCGCCCTCATATTTTTTATCTCTCTTAAAAAGAAAACCAGAACAAAGACAACCCAGCCGGTTCTAATAGTAGTTACTGACTGGCATTAAGTGGCTTGTTTACTCTTCCTCACAGAGGGCAGTCTGTGAGGAAGAGTGAAATTCCTGATATTGTGACTCAGGCGTCCAGTTCTTTTCCTGTGTTGTGTTGATGTGGTACTGAACTTCACTAGCTGTAGTGAGTTTGTTCTCTCTCTCTTACAGCTCTTTTTCCTTCTAGCTCACTGTTCTGTAGGATGAGACGGGAGTAATGAATAGTATGTATGTATCTGCACCATGTTAGATGAACTGTTTTAAAATTTAAGACACTAATGAGCATTATTTTGTATGTTGTATGCTCTGATTTATTTAACGTGTTTGGGTGTTTGCCTGCTTGTATATCTATGCACCACATGCATCTAGTGCCTGCAGAGTTCAGAAGAGGGCATCAGAACTCATGGATCTGGAGTTACAGATAATTGTGAGCTATCATGTGGGTTCTAGGAATCGAACATAGGTTCTCTGCAAGAGCAGCCACTGCTAAGCCACCTCTCCAACTCCTTGTTTAGCTTTAAACACTAAATAACAACAACAACAACAATAATAATAAATTGACCGAATATACTTCCTTTTAAAATTTAATCATGGTTTATAAGATTGTATTCTGCATAATTAAATTTTGTTACATTGTATCTTTTTTGGCATAGCTTTATTAGAATTTATATATTCAATATTTTGAATATGATGTAGCTTTTGGGCCAAGAAGATGGCTCAGGTGACGGGTAACTGCATGAACCTGATAACCTATCCTGAGTGTCATTTCCATTACATTACATTACATTACATTACATTACATTACATTACATTGCGCCTGAAAAGCCAGGCGCAGTGGCCTCCATCTGTAATTCAGAACTCATAGGCTGAGATGAGAGGTGGGGACAGGAGAAGCCCCCTGAAGCTCCAGGGGGAGCTAGATGTAGAAGCAGAAGACACTGCCTTAACGAAGTGGGTGCTGTGTTGTGCCATGGCACGCACTGGCATGTACACCAACCCATTCCCCCCAAATAAATTTAACAATAGCAGCTTACTTTATTATAACTATCTTTAAGTTTTTTGAGATGCAGTTTTGGCTCTGATACCCTGGCTAATCTGGTACTTGTCTGTGGTTCAGACTGACCTCTTGAACAGTCTTTCTGCCTGAGTTTCCCAAGTGTTGGGAGTATAAGTGTGCACTGCCATGGCTTACTGAACAGAGATCACATACTGAACAAGATGCTTTAAACAAACTACTCTTGACAGGAATTTTCCATTACTGAAGTCAGACCTGCAGTTGAAGTAGTTTCCTATAAGTATGACACTCGGAATGTGTAATGAATACTTTAGAATTCATTTGCATATATGTATTTTTTTGATATAGGATCTTTCTATAATAGCCCAGATTGTTCCTAAACTCCATGTTTTTATCTGTGTATTCAGTGTGGCACCACTCTTGTCATGCAAATTTATCTTTTTTAAGGCTTACTTATTTTATGATTATGAATGTTTTGCCTACATGTATGTATGTATGCCACATGTGTGGTCTGTTGGCTCCCCCGGAACTGGGCTTACAGATGAATGTGAGCTACCATGTGGGTGCTGGAAGATGAACCCAGGTCCTTGGCAAGAGAACATATGTTTTTAAGCACTGGACATCTCTTCAGCCCTGAGCTCATCTTTGGTTAATACAGTCACTGTTTTTTTTTTTAACCTGTAGAATTGGATAAAATTTTTGTTTTTGTTTATGAAATAGTTTTATTTAACATAGACAAACACACACACACACACAAATAGATCAAAGACATGGATTGTAGCCTAGATGATAGAGTGCTTGCCTGCATGTATTCATGGGGCTCTTGAGTTCAACACACACACACAAAACATACAAAAATGCAAATAAGCCTTCAGGTCAGTGATAATATACCTCTTTTAGTACCTAATTTTGAAAATTAGGAAATGTAATTGGTCTAAATCCCAGCCTAACAATTTGCAGAATGAACTAATAAAAATAGTCTTATAAGTGGTTGTTGCTTGTAGGGGCCACACTTGTAATTATTTTCCTAGCATTTTTCATTTCTAAATCTGTTTTCAAAAGAACGTTAGTCTGGGTGTGGCTGAACACTCTGTTAATCCCACACTCAGGTGGTAAAGGCAAGT